TTCTTTAGTCCAATGTCACGAAGTTAGCTCAACTTCTATTTTACAATTCTCTGCTAAATCAGTGTTACACCCATTTTTATATCAGCCAGGAAACCAGCTGCTTAGTGCAAACCGAATGCTGACGTAAGTCTGATCCGATTGGTTAGAACAGTCTCATTGGTAATGGATTCATGATAACCGTCACGAATATAAAGATGTATTTAGTATAGTAGAACAAAGTTGATGACTAGGAGTAGTATGACTGATAAGTTAATGATTAGTGTAGTTGGTGTTAATTAGTGTAGTTGATGTAGTTGGTGTAGTTACTGTAGTTGCTGTAGTTCGTGTAGTTGGTGTAGTTACTGTAGTGAGTGTAGCACGTGTAGTTGTTGTAGTTGCTGTAGTTACTGTAGTTGGTGTAGTATGTGTAGTTGCTGTAGCTAGTGTGTACGCTAACTACACGAACTGCACTAACTACCCCAACTACACCAACTACAGCAATTACAGCAACTACGGAAACTGTAGTGGGCTAATTACCGGGGCCCAGCCGAAGGCTGGCACCGGTCTTAAAATGCAGACCGTCCGTTTTTTCAACGTTACATTGTTAGGGATATATCGCTGACTGAGATATATCGCTGGCTCATTGAAATCTTATCCGCCTATAGAGGCATGGAGGACAGTCAAGAGAAAGATTATAGCTTTTTTGGGGAACGACACGTTCCCCCAACCCAACTAGTTTATGAGCGAAAATTTAAGAGTGAATATTTGGAGAGACAAATTTACGAGCGATCACTTCTGAGACTGAACCTTCCATCGTGAAACTTATCGAGAAATTGAGTGAACCTTCCATCGTGAAATTTATCGAGAATCAAAGCGAACACTTATCAAAATTTGTCTTCAAAAAGATTTCAATGATTGACATACCGAAGACTTCAAAGCTCCATCGCTATGTTAATAAGGTGAGAAAACTTTATCATGCACGATATAAATGTAATAACAAACGCGATCCAAAGATAATTAACTTAAATAAAATGGCTATACCCAAGAAAGCTTATTTGTTGTCTTTCTTTAGCAGGCATTATCACAGGATAATGAAACTAAAAATAATGTAAAGCACGTCGATCTCTATCATTGTTTTCTTGCAATTGTGTGAGTCATATGACCAATTATGTGAATTTCAAACTAAGTAAAGATGCTGAGAAGAATCCAGGACCTACTCAATACAACACTGATCATCATGAAGTAATAATTAGACCTTCTATGTAAAATCACAGCTCAACATTGGTTGAGGTCACACTAGAGACTTTACTATGGTAAAAAGGGCTTTACTATGGTAAGTCTCGCAACGTCTTCTTTACCGTAGTAAACCTGACAGGTCCACTTAAAAAGGCATTTGAAACTTTCCAGGCGTTTTTTCTCGCGTGATCGGTAACGTGAGAGTGAAAAGTAAAACAAATGATGACCTGCTATGATAGCTGACTAAATTGAAATTACTGAACTGTAACTTCCTGAGCGTGATCCTCACAAGTGTACAAAGATGCTTCAATGTGAGAGAGTATTGTTTTCTGTTGTGAGCATTTTGCTTTTAATTCTGCTGCTCAGACGAGCAAGAAGAATGCGCTCCCTTATTACCTACCTTGGTTTCGAATACGAAGTTAGTGAAGATGTTTTAGTGACAGGTTTATTGATTACTCATCGAAGACGTATTCTTAGAGAAAGAGCGGCATTGCGAAGGCAAGCGTGGGTTTAACCTCGACCCCAGGAATGGTTTGAAGAAATGTACAGAAACAGAAACCTTCAAGCACTGTGGAAAAAGCAATCACCGATGTTCTAAAGCTATTCTGTTATGTGACCCTTTTTGAAACTACTTTCCTCAAAAATCATGACAAACTGTCAACAAAACAAACAAAGTTTAGATAGACTAGAGATATACCCACCTTTTTTTTTTTTTGGTAACCAGATGGTTATCGGTGATGGGTCATCTTTGTTCTTTCCGCGGTAGTCATGGAAATTAACCAGGGTAGAGTTTACCATTGTAAACTGAAAAATGCCGGTCACACTTACGGCGTCGTTTACTATGGTAAACTTGAGTTTACTATAGTAAACTTTCTCTAGTGTGACCTCAACCAATGCAGTTGAACTCTCCTATTTCCTCTGAGAATTTGATGCAGTCAAGATTAGGTGCACTTTGTTTACAATCAATAGATGTTGGCGGTGCAGGTGATTGTTTCTTTAGATCTGTATCACATCAATTATATGGCAAAAGCAACCATCACATGCATACACGTACTGCTGGGGTTCAATTTATGAGAGACAATCCTGAGAGATTTATTGAGAGCAATACCGAAAATTCATGGATAAGATATCTGAATAATATGTGTATTCAAGGTACATGGGCTGATGCACTTATCATTCAAGCAGTTGCAGATATACTACTGTTTACCCAGTTCAGGAAAGAAATACTTCCTCTACAATAATTACTATAGGCCATATTGATGAATGCCACTATGTATCAACCACTGCCTTGCAATCAAGTGCCTCCATTTCAAGGTGCAATGAATTAACAAATGATACTCAGTCATCAATAAATAAGCATTTTATTATGTCTGTATATAACACTGGATGACATTTTTTACAGTGCAAGACAACAATCCATGACCACAAAGATCTATTTCAAAAATGTCTTATGTCTGTTATCATTTCAAATTCACAGTGTTTTCGCAAAAAATAGATAAATGTGATTAATAAATCTCAATGATAAACCTGATGATAACGTACTTGAGAAAATGTGAAATTGTGATAATTCTGTAACAAACTTCTTTGCAAACTTTGTCATTACCATTCAACCCAAAACTGTCAGTGATTTTTGCTTTTTCACTCAAACTTAAAAACAAATGAAAACCTTATACAGATCACACTTATTGACATCACAGTGTTACTAAAAACACTACTATAACACAGACCGTTAGCTGTAATAACACTGAACAAACTTACAACAACATCCTCCTTTCTCATGCATTTTGTTGCTTTTCTTCTGCATGAGTTAATTCAGACTAAGTATTAGCCTCCACAGAGGAGGGGGGAGGGGTGCGAGAGGTAAACTATATCTATGCAATCCCGTATCCCACTGGGCCCCGGTAAGTTCCACGTAGTGGTTCTAGTTGGACATGGAATGTCTTTATATTTGTGACGGTTATCATGAATCCATTACCCTCATTAGCGTGAAACCTTCGAGATAATTGCTTTGTCGAAATGACTCTTCAACCGAAGTTTTCACTATTAAGCTTAAGTCAACTGGCCAATATAAAACTAGGAGAACAATATAAAAACTACAAGGTATATACTAGTAAACAGACTTTTCATATTAACAGATACGAAGGTACTAAAATTACAGTTTGAAAATCTAAGGTTGTCAATTTACAGAAGGTATTAAGCTTCTTCATCGAAGATGATTGGCTAAAATTTTTCCATAAATTAACCACGAACGTGATCGCAAACTTAAAGGGTAAATTAAAAATGCAGTTCAAAGTACAAGGCAGAGTTTAGAATAGTTGTTTAACTACAAAAACACCTATAAAATCAAACCAATCCTTAGCAAAACCTAAAGAAAGTGTAACACAGCGATTATAGCGACAAGACTGTACGCAGTGCTGATTCGACGCTTTGTAAACACAACTTCTCGCTTATTCTTTCGACAACACATACCCAAGCTTCCTAAGAATTAACACAAAATAATAGATTGAGGAATCAAAACATTTCACAGTCGAATGGGGCTTCAGGAAAATCTCACCTGGTGCTTAGACGTTTCGTAATTTTATGATCTTCATTGTATTCATCGGACTCAACAAAGCATCCATACGCATTCACTACCAGTTTAAATTTTAAACTGCTTTCTGCGGCGACATTTAACGAAGTCGGCGATATATCTTCCTCCATTTAGAAAAGAATTAAAGTCTTACTGGCCTCTTTGATACTGTCTCTTTAAGCTTCGGTTAAGTCTGAGGAAAAAAGCTAGTCTTCCTCGCAGTCGTTTTTAGTATCGTCACGCAACGCTCTTCAAAACTGGAAGCCAATCAAAACACCGCATTTAACAAAAGAATAATTTCAAAACAAAAACACAAGCGCGCAAAGCCGTTTGGGTGAACATGGGCCTTTAAACATATTTCATGAACAGAAGTGTTACCGCGGAGATGCACTAAATTGGTACATCTCCTTTGCACCGAATTCGTGTCAGGAGAAACTTTCTATCGATCATCAATTAACTTA